AATATAAAGAGGCAAACATACAGTAACTAATTCTCTTTTCTCTTATTTCCCATACAAGCACCTCGTGAGTTGTGTTGGGCTGAGAGAGAGTGATGGCCCAAAGTCACCCAACTGGCTTTCCTGTCTAAAGCAAGACTAGAACTCACAGCCTCCTGGTTTCTAGGCCAGCACTTGAACCACTATACCAGTTCAGCATTTTTGATGATATCAGTGCCAGTAACAACCTGGAAGCCTTTTTGAGCAAAGTAAAACAAGCTTCCGATATGTTTTGCCAAACGTATGTTTTCTGTAAACATATTACAGGAATATTTTGCTTGTGTTCACCTCATCCTCCCACTTAGTTTCTTAAGCATAAAAATCAGAGGTGTTATTCAGCAGGTTCTGACCAGTTCTGGAGAACCAGTAAAGGAAATTTTGAATTGTTCAGAGGACTGGCAAATACCACCTCTGACTGGCCCTGCCCCCATCTATTCTCTGCCTCCCGAGTCCCCGCTGATTGGCTGAGTCTTTTTTTGTTGCCCTGCCCAGGAGAATGGAGCTGGAAAGCAGGTTAGCGGGGTAAGGAGGGAATAGGATTTTGCAGTATCCTTCCCCTAGAGTGGGGTAGGAATGGAGTTTTTACAGTATCCTTCCCCTGCCACACCCAACAAGCCACGCCCACCATGCCCCACCCTCACCCAGGTGCTTGCATTTTCCTAAACACTACAGGGATTTCATTTTGGAATAGTTAAATGGAGGTATCCACCAAGAGATCCAGCTCCTCTCAAAATCATTTATCCAGCCTTTGAAGATGCTGAAAATGTGCCTAGGAAAGTGTAGATGGGCAGCTGGACTGTCAGAAGGATTCTGGGAAGACAAATGGCCTTAGCCCGAGTGGTGGCCACAGCAGAGTCTGATTGGCTGAGTCCACGTAGATAGTACCCCAAGGCCTCTCACTCGGTGGTGGGATTCACAATTTGTTACCACTGGTTCTGTGGGCGTGGTGTGGCTTGGTGGGCGTGGCAGGGGAAGGATACTGCAAAATCCCCTTTCCCTCCCCACCCCACTAACCTGCTTTCCAGCTCCGTTCTCCTGTGCAGGGCAACCAAAGAAGACCCAGCCGATCAGCTGGGACTTGGGAGGCAGTGAATAGATGGGTGGGGCCAGCCAGAGGTGGTATTTGCCGGTTCTCCGAACTACTCAAAATTTCCGCTTCCGGTTCTCTAGAACTGGTCAGAACCTGCTGAATACCACCTCTGCTCTCACTGTATCGTGCTACCCCATGAACGCCTGCCTGTTCTCCCCCACCCAAGGTGGGTGCTGCTGCTTCTGGGAGTGGTCTGCCAAAACATGCTGAAATCATCTGAGGACAGTGCACAGGTTGTCCTCAATTGACACCCATTCATTTAGTGACCAAAGTTACAGCAGCACTGAAAAAAGTGACTTATGTTTTTCACACTTTAGGACCATTGCAGCATCCCCATGGTCACACGTGATCAAAATCCAGGCGCTGGGCAACCGGCATGTATTTATGAGAGTTGCAGTGTCCTGGGATCATGTGACGATGACCTTTTGCGACCTTCTGAGCAAAGCAAAGTCAGCGGGGAAGCCAAGGTCCTTTAACAACAGTGTTACTCACTTAACAACTGCAGCGATTCGCTTAACAATGGTGACAAGAAAGGTTGTAAAACAGGGCAAAACTCACTTAGCAACAGACATTTTGGTGCTCAGTTGTGGTCATAATTAGAGGGTTACCTGTACCCCATCACGAGCAAGCAAGAGCTCTCTGCTCCTCAAAGGAAGGCAGGACTCTTCTCTTCCTAGCAGGGAACAGCTAGAAAGGCACACAAGATAAAAGTCCAAAAAAAAAAGAAGGGGGAAAGAAAATGGAAAATAAAGATGCAGGCAGCTATTAGTGAAACAGGGTTTTTAAGACTATATTACCTTAGATAGGATTCTGCCAACTAGTGTTCCAACTAGTGATTTATGCTTCCAGCTGAGTGACTAAAATGAAATTGCTCAGGGTCATAAGATCTATTTTTAGTTGATTTCTTAGTAAATTTTATTTATACACACACACAGAAGTCTTGCTGGGTGTGTGTGTGTGTGTGTGTGTGTGTGTGTACTGTATATGAGTCTTGCTAACTCTTGCTATCCTCTATTCTTGATCTCAAACTTCAGATACTTTTGGTTGCTCTAGAGCAGGGACTCCCAATTTTGGCAACTTTAAGACGTGTGACTTCAACTCCCAGAATTCTGTAGCTAGCTGGAGAATTCCGGGAGTTGAAGTTCACATGTCTTAAAAGTTGCCAAAATTGGGAACCCCTGCTCTAGAAGGCAAAGCCGATCTTTTATATTAAATAATCAACTGCTGGTTTTTGAGTTAGAATTAGAAAACAAAATATTCTACCATTGCTTCCTGTGGAGGATTACTTCAATTTCTGTATTCTTAGGTACTTCAATTGTCCTTTAAAAGTTTTACTACAATAGCTTAAACCAAGATGAAAAAGGTACAGCACAATTTATATAGATTCTATATTCAAAGGGAGCTAGCTCCCTCTGCTGGCAAAATTGTTTCTAAAGTGTTAATCTTTGGATTTCATTTTTGTAGATCATTGTTATACGTATATATGCAATATACTTTACAATAAGGTGGATAACAAAGTCGCAAGATGAAAATATTTTATACAGTCTGGCCAGATGTGTCTTCCTATATTTCTGTGTTTTAATTCAGTCCTGGTGTATTATTTTTTGGCCTAAAGTCTGTTCATGACTGTGCTCATGTGTCAGTCAATTAACACAATAGTTTTGACTTACTTAACCATCAGCTAACCTGACAAGCCATGTTCATGTAATATAGTAGGCTGAAATGCAGTTGAGCAATTTATGGCTCAATATGTTGCTTTCAGCCTAAGGCTAGGCTCATGCAACATATTGTCATAATGCCTTGTAGCTTAGCATGTGGATGAACCCTGTCTATCCTGGTTTATTCAATAAGTGAACTACATAGTGCATGGCTAAAACTGGAGATTTGTTAAGACTAATAATGCACATGTTGGACTATCTCCAATTCAATATTGCAAAAGAGGTTATTTCTACAGCCTTTTTTGAATGTTTTTTTTTTGCAATTACTATATAGAATAACTCAGCCAATGTCAGCTTCCAGCTTTGACATTTAGTGCAAAGACAGCAGATAATTTCAGCTGCCACTGCAGTCAGCAAACTTCTAGCAATTAAATATGAAGATTGCCTTTGGGAAGAGACAAATAATCAATAAAGGATTTAATCTGATACAAGTTAAGGTTACAACAACTTTACTTTTTCTATTACTCAAGCCGGACATCAACGTAAGGTTTCAACGGAATACCATTTGCTATTAAGTGGTAATTGCCCCTTAGAAGTATCACTGTTAAGGAATAGAAGCAATGTGAAATTCACAGTACTAGATTTGTGGATCATGCTAAGCAATATAACATAGTTTGCCCAGGAAAGTCCTGGCTTACTCCAACTGTGTTGGTGTCATGCCCAGTTTAGTGTTTGTTCTGTATTCATTTTTTAAATTAAGTATAATTAATAGCAGTTTGGAGAACCAGTTTGGTGTAGTGGTTACAGCACCAGGTTAGAAACTGAAAGACTGAATTCTAACTTAGATGAAAAGCAAGCCAGGTGACTTTGGGCCAGTCACTTTCTCTTGACCCTACGAAGGAGGCAATGGCGAACAACTTCTGAAAAACATTGCTATGAAAACTGTAGGGACTCGTTCAGGCAGTCTCTGAGAATCAGACAGGATTAATTTTTTTTAAAAAAAACTAGTGCAGCAAATCTACTGGTACAAGTTCTCATTTCTTCTTTTAGAAGACAAGATGAGCCCTGAGAAACCTTTTCCTTCTCTGCCTCTCTTTTGAGATCTTCTGCCTTCTTCCTCCTGCAGCTAACTTCCTCACCTTGAATTCCTGAGCCATAGATTTCTGCCAATTCTCCATGTTTCAGCACAAGAGGCCCAGTTTCTAGGATAAAGTATATGGTCACTCCTCTTAGCATCGACCAAGCACATTGTCAGCCTTCAAGATCTTCTACTATTGCTTTGCATCTTTTGGCTGCCATAAGTAACGGGGGGGGGAGGAGGGGGTAAAGTTTGGGAAGCGAGCTGGAAGTGTTACATTCTAGTGTTGTGTAAAATGAGGTGGGGGGGGGGGGAGTATAAATTCTTGCTTAGGTCTCTATTTCTCGCTTAGCTTTCTTTTCTCTGCGCAACTGCAAACCTTTATCAAAATATGCCAAGGTCAACGGACAGAGGCCTCATCATCACCTGAAGATGTCCACATGATCATATTCACAACTTTTAATTGGAAGAATCATTTGAACTATTGGGGGTGGGAACATTTCCATCACTTTGTATATGTGATGTGCGCGCCTAATTTCCCAGATTCAGAATTCTATGGTTGTTACCACTTCAATTTCAGTACAAGATATCTTTTCTCTAATCTAAAGAGTCTAAGTATTTCTTTCTTGAATTTGGAATGGAGCTCCACCTGATACACATTAATAGACACTTCCAACAAACCTGCATAGTCTGTTGCACAACCTAAGGATATGCCTGACTTGGACCTGGTCATCCTAATCAAACCATGCATTTAAAAAACCCAGCTAATTATACTGTTTGCAAAGGAACCAGCAGATGTATATTTGCTTGTCAGTAGTTTAGGATTAACATGGTAATTGGTATGGGATAGTCTTAGATCTAGGAGAGCAACTTAATTGGAGAGGTGAATTTATCTGCCTATGCAATCTGTCTACCTGAACAGCAGTTTTTCTATGCTTCTGTTGTTGCCGAATTGCTGGAACAGCCTACATACCAGGACCCAAAGGAGGAAACAGGCAAATCAGGGGCTGGCGCACACAATACACAAAACTAAATATGGCTTGTTTATTGTGAATAAGCATATGTGAACCCACCAGGGAAATTCATACTTACAGTATGAATTACTGTAGCGCTTTAATGAGTAAGAAGTAGAAGAAGCTGTTGTTACCAATCAGTTAAACACTGACTGGGTATTTTTATTCTATAAACCATTAGAAGAAAAATTTACATTGCTATTCAGAAGTGGCAAATGTTTGGCACTGTTGGCAGTACTGTGTGCTATACAATTTAAGTATCCATATTGTTGGTGAAGCATATTTCCATTCAGGCAGGAGTTCATTGCATTCCATATTTCTCCTTCAGCTCATTAACTTTGGCTATATATACTTTGATTGCATCTTCTTTCGACATACCTGAAGGGGGAAAAAGGTTTTGGGTGGGTGAGCAGAAATATAGTATGAAAATTTTTGCAATTCCCATTTATTTATTACCCCAATTTCTCCCTTTTGCAACTAGCTTCATTTCTCCCTTTTTAAACTAGCTAATTGGGGAGTTCTTGTGTAAGTAATGGTTCTAGTGTGCCAATTTGTTGCATAAAGATAAGTGACGTTATGCCTATGAAGAAACAGTGATGGCTATTCCTTCTGCAATTTGAAATTATACAAAAGATTGACAAAAACTTGTAAATGCACACAAGTTTTCTTTATGAGAAATCATCAAGATCAACACTGTTTGATAGCTCCAGAAATATTTCAGTTAAATTAGATTTTTCAGGGAGCTTTTTCCTCCCCTATAAACTCCCCCCCCCCTATAAACTGGGGGAAAATTTCAATAACAATTATAATACATATAATGTTAACTGATGATGAGCATTGTGCATTTAACAGCACTCTTATTCCTAGCTTTTATGGACTTTTGGTTAATGAGGTTGAGTTTTGATTTAAGCCATACTTTTTGGTAAGAACAAGCAATACATTTCATCAGTTCAATTTATCTGGGAATCCTGACCAATTAATTGAACGTTCAGATTCTTATCATGTGTCAAGTTCTACTGTAGAAATGTTCTTATGTAAAACCATCAATATTCAGATAAGAATTTGCCTAAGAGATTTCTATCCTTTTATTTCTTCAAGAATTTTAGATTGGCACTGAATTTCAATGACTCCCTTTTGCAAAAGAAGCATTTACAAAAGTTAATTGTCTTTCATGTCACAAATCCCATTAAGAACATAGAGATGACATTATTCCCATTTGCAGGCTGAAGATTTGGTTAGAATTGCTTATAAGTCATTTGTCATTTCATTTGTCTTTGCCAAGGCCTACCTTTTAATTTATTCCAGGCGTCCCATTTCGCTTTGCCTTTTAAATCAAACATTCCAGGGCGTTCTGAAACAAAACATTGTCACATGGCTCTTAGATGTGGTTGTAGTACAAATCACAGCTTTGAGGAGACTTCACTTGAGCAAAAATAATGTGCTTTAATTTTGCAGGCTATGCAAGAGGTACGATCGGAACAAGTGATTTTAAAAAGTTATATGGAATCAGACAGTTTTGACATGGTTCTATTTTATATGCTAAACTAAGAGCTTATATATTTTAAATTTTGCTTACTGAGAGATTGAAAGCACATTAAAAAAACAGATATTAATTACTGGTCACAACACTAAAAGTGCTTCATTGCAGTAGGGTGGACAAATTCTTGTGATCTGCTAAAAATCTGTAGCTGTTCTAATTTAAAACAAAACATTGTGCCGGTGTAGGGCAATTACTATTTAGTGATCCATGACATTAGAAAACCAGAGAAGAAATGGTGCCGATAATTGTAATCTTTTTCCACCCAGTCAATATAGTACAGTTGTTGCTATGGTAGCTCGGAATACACTACAGGGGATCTGCTTATTACTGCTAACAGTACTTATGTCTAAGAGGTTTCCTATACAGCTGGAAAACCAGCCACTGTGAATTATTATGTGACGCTGAGCAGGGCTTCTATTACAATGGAGATCTTGACATATATATGGACAAGCTTTGCTTGCATCATTCAGTTTAACATGCCTATTGACACGTACGCTCATGCAGAAGTCAGATTCTTCTGTTGCGGATTAGGTCACAAAGATTTGAAAACAGGCTCTACAAGTAGTTCTTGACTTATGACCATGTCTGAGCCTGGCAATTATGCTTTTTAAGTCATGACAGTTGTAAATTATTCACCATGTGACTGGACCCAATTTTATAACCTTCTTTGCAACAAGTCTAGCACTTTTTGCTGGAAACTGGAAGTAAACACTTTTTTCCGGGCAAAACACAGTAAATCATGGTCACATGACCATGGAGCACTGCAAATGTGGGGCAGTTGTAGAGTGCCTGAAGTAATCACACAACACTGTGTATGCACAGCACTGGAACTTTGAAATTGGGTTGCAAGTAGCTTTTAGTGGTCCATCGTAACAAGTCAACAACTTGTATATTGCATTAAAAGGTACACTTTTGTGTGAAATGGCAGAGCAGGGGTCTCCAACCTTGGCAACTTTAAGACTTGTGGACTTCAGCTCCCAGAATTCTTCAGCCAGCAAAGCTGAGAAACTTTGGCTGAGGAACTCTGGGAGTTGAAGTCCACAAGTCTTAAAGTTGCCAAGGTTGGAGACCCCTGTTCCAAAGTACCTGGAAATTTTCAAAAATAATTTGTTTTATATCTGCTTGTCTCCCTTATTATCTCAGTGAATGGAACAGCAAAATATAAAACAAATAAATGAAAAACATATATTCCCAATTTTGAGTGGTATTTGGTTCTAGCAAGTAGTTCTATTAAAGGTAGAAAAAGATTCTATTCTGAAACTATTCACATTAAAGCCCCATTTTCTTTCAGATGAAGATAGTGTGCTTTTTATTATGTATTACTTATAATTGCTATACATCTAATTGCATTTGCAACTGTATTTCAAGAATTCAGATAAATCTGACATTGGGTCCTAGGATCCATAGAGCCATTGTGAGAACAAAAGATGGCACCCATATTCTAGAAAATCTCCATGGAATTTTCTGGCCATGTTTGCATATTTATCCTGACTAAACGGAGTCCTATTTTTAACCCTTTGCTGTGCCTGCTTTACCCAAGACTCTAGACTCAGCGTACTGTGGGAACTCCAACATGAATAATCTTTTAGATTCCTGGTTAACTCCGACCAGGTATTCATCAATACAACTATATATAAAATCCAAGTGAAAGAGATCTAATATCACACTCACTCTGAATGAAATACAGAGTCTGAAACCTCTGTAAAAACAAAGCATGTGGATAAAATTATTGCTGTGTACATTTATACTAATATTGCTGTGTACTCTCCTTTTTACATGTTGTTCTGTGGACTCTAGTTTCTCGATAAATGATGTGTGAGATATCCTAGTGAGATAGAGATCTGAGCAGAGTAATCTTCCTTTCCTTGACAATCTGTCCACTTTGGGCACTTTTTCTTCTGACAGGTCACCAGAACAAAAGAATCAGGGTTGTGTACTTATCTCACATGAAACATATTTTGGAGATCTGTTCTATGTGCCTAAACTTTTGGTCTAAGCTATGAATGCAATGGGGAGTCATTCAACAAATCTGCCACTTTAAACTTTTAATTCTCAAAGTTGGTAATGAGACTGTCTGGGAAAAACCTGCTGCTTGCCAGGCAGAATGGATGACCTTGAGCTCAAGTTGGCAACACTAACCCAGAGAAAACTCTCCCTTGCTCCCCCAGCAGAGATGCCAGCAATGCTCAGCTGGGAGCTTTATTTCTCCCTCAAATGTCTGCAACTGTATTAGGGAAGAAGCTTCTAGGTCTCTTTTTTTAATCTCCAAGCTGCCCTTAGACGGAAGTCTGTGTAAGCAAAATTATTTGAAACTATTAAGAACATCTAAGTATGAAAGAGCAGTGTATTTCAAACCACCATAAAGTTTGAATCAGTTGCACAATAGGCCAAATCTTTAAGAAAGCAAGGATATTGTAATAGCAGGCAGGGATTAAAATGCTTTATGACATAATAATTGCCTCCCGGCTCAATTCTCACAATTAACGTAAGTGCATTCTCATGATTTCACCTCCCCCAATAGGACTGCTAGTCTAAGTTTCTTTCCAAATTTTCATACAACTTACCATTATCACATACAGTAGGAGATCTTGAAGAAGAGACAGAGAATCTGGTATCATTTACATAAATCAGACCACAACTAACTCAAACATTGGCTATGTTGAACAAGGAAGATAGCTTACAAAGGCCAAGATATCTGGAGTTCTCTAGGCTGCTTATTCCAGTTTAAAGGTTTATGATGCTTATGGCTCATTTGACCTAACATTGTTTTTTTTTTTAGATAACCTTCCTGTAACATATTCATACATGTCTGTAGTAGAAACCTTAGTTAATTGTAAGGTATTAATTGAATGTTACTACCAGTAAAATATTTTTCCATCTTTTATCAGGGCACTTTTCATAACATATAAAGCTAGGCACAGTCATGCAAAACAAAGCTTATATTTTCTACCACTTGTCTGTTATAACATCATGCTCTGTTACAACTAAAATCAAACTTTTGGCACTTTGGTTTCAGTTACCTAGCATTTGCAGAGTAAAAAAATTCATGCATTAATATGCCATGGCTTCTACAATCATTTCTTGTATCATAATTCATGCAAAATTAGTCAAGAAAATTAGGTTACAATTTTTCAGTTTAACTTCCCATTCCATAAATGAAAGCTCAGTGGAGAAGGCTGCATAACCATCATGATTTTAGAAATTCAAACTTCAATTCCCACAACTCCTATTTTGGAATAGTTCCATGATATGTGCCAAGATTCTTGGTCTAGTCATTTTAATTAATCCTCATAAAGCAGTAGAAGCCTGAAGTGTGATGGTCCTTACACAGCATGTGGGCTAAAAACTTTTGCCAATAAGGCAGATTTCTTAATTAATTATGCAATGATTTAATTCCTATCTCTGATTGTCTATCTTGCCTGGAACATATAATCTTCCTTAGGATCATAATATGCCAAATCTGCTTACAGAATATTGCTTAAGGCATTAACCACAGGTTCCACCACACTTGGCCTCTATTGCTTCATGAGGAATAACTATAACAATAGATCAAGAAACCTGAGATGCACTTTAATATCACATTGTTTGCAATCTCATACAGATTTTCAGAAGCAACACAGAAACATACTGACAAGGAAACTGTAGAACATATTGTCCCAGGATGGCTGGGAGAAATGGCTACCTTGAACAATATCAAGCACTGTGTCAAAGAACCACAGCAATCATTGTAACCAGTAATGTGATAGAAACACTTTGGTGTCACGATTAAGGTTCTGGACTAGAAACCAGGAAAGTTCTAGTTCCGCATGGCATGAAATCAGGCTGGGTGACTTTAGGCCTTTCTCTTTTAATCCAATTTCCTTAACAGAGTTGCTGTTGTGTGGAAAGTTAGATCCTGGAACATTACCCTGAGTTGCACAAAATAAAGGCACAATATAGTGACGTGTACAAATGAACATATTGTGATAGGTATGTTTTAGCTGCAATTATACCATACATGTAGTGGCTGGCATGTTGGATTAGGGAGCAGGTTCAAATCTCTGCTTGATGAAAGATGCCTCAAGGTCTTAGACACAAGATGGGAAGAAAGCAAACAGTTTAAATACATATTTCACTAAGAAATTAATTTTTAATATTACAGGGAGTTATGAGTCATTGAGGACCATGTATTAATAGTCAAGTTATGCTAGAATAATGATCTTTTAGGCATATTAAAGTGGTGTGCATCTCTGCCTGTAATTATTTGGTCATCTCTGACCAAATAAGGAGTTTTCAATCAGAAGTCAAGCTGAAGTCTATTAGCAAGCTTGTCATGAACATAAATATTAAAGTGAAAGTAGAATAGATTCAAGTGTGCGGCTAAAGGTGAGCCAGATCTTGATTTTAGCTCAATAGATTTATATTTTTATCATGCAGGCTTTGTGGAAATAGTTCTGTTCATATCAGTTCGGAAGTTTTTGCTCAGTCAAGGTGGTTTTATTCATTTGAGATGCTGCAACCTTGTGCACATAGTTCCTACCGGTAGTTCTTACCTGTATTTACATCTCCAACTGTAACTTGCTTAAAGTGGCCGTAGAGATCCAGCAATTCTTGATCTGATGGCTGTGTCTTCAGATTCTTCACTTCTTCAGCTGCTTTATCAAACTCTGCCTATTTCAGTAGATGCAATAAGGGGGGAGAAAAAACGGTTTAGTGCTCCCATGATTGAAAGTTGTCCATTCTTAATTGTATTCAACACAAGGATTGTCATTCCTAAAATGTTCTTGTTTAAACCCAATGCACCTGTCAGCAATTTCAACTTGAATCACGAGACATGTGTGCACACAGGGTTCTACTTTCAACCTACACAGATTTAAGTACTTGCTTGAACAAAGCCTACAGAGATCAAAAGTGTGACATGGGTTGGGAAATACTGTGAAATGTTGCGAAATCAGGTCCCTGCTGCTTCAGAAGTAAAATTGGCTCTACCCACTACAATTCCGATTAGTTCCCACACACGTCCCTACCATTGTTACCTACTGTTATCAAAAGAAGTTACAACTAGCAAACACTACCCGCTTCAGCTTTCAACTATAGTCAGTTACCAATTGTTTCACTGGAAACAAAGTATTTATCCCCCAACCACCACCAAAGGATCAGGCATTTCTTGTAGGCATTTTGAACGCGCTTCAGCTGCCGGCAAAAACTTAAAAGGTAGTTTATTTTTCCTCTGAATAGCCCCCCCGCCTCCAATAAGACGCCGAACACATTCCAAACAATAATTCTTCTTGCATTCATTGCACGTGGAAAATCACTTCAGACAAACCTGCAGGGACGAAACCCCCGACCCCGACCCAGCTTTGCTAGGGCAGGTCGCCAGCGATAGGGAAACCGAAGAATTTGAAGGGATTGAGCCGATGTGGTTTAATTTAGCCAGGTTTCTTTAGCGAGGAAACAAAAGAGAAGGAAGCAAACGGGCGCGGGGCAGTTAGAAGGCACGGCACGCATTTCCCCCTCCCGCCCTCCACGCAAGACAAAAGAGTAATTCAATGGAGAGAAAGAGGGGGGAAAAAACCCCGCTCTTCGTCCCAGGAGGGTATTAGAACTCACCTGCGTCATAATGGCGAGATAGTCGGAGATTCTGGACAGGGACGAGAGAAAGACCGAAGACCTCCAAAAACTACTCAGAACGCGCTTCGCCTTTGCAGCTTTTTCTGCTGTGCCAGGGCCACTATTTCACTCATCAGCCCAGGGGATGCCGACCAATCACAGGCGGAGGGCGGAGAAATCCGTGCCGTCCTTCAATCGCGTCTCTCCAAAGGAGCCTGATGGACGGCGTGGGCTCAAAATGGGGGACGAGTTCTCGGTCGCTGAAGAGGCGGGCGAGGGATCCTCACGTTCGGTTCCCGAGGAAAGGTTGGAGACTCCGGCTCGATTAAGTCCCAGGCTGGAAAGAAGAGGACAGCATCGGATTTTCCTCAACAGAATAAAATATCAATTTTTTATTGTATTTTAAAAAGGACCCTCTATTTCTGGTGGGGTTTGTTATAGCAATACAGTCTTGCCATTGGTTTTTCGTTTTTGTTTTCTAGAAACTTCCCCTCCCCCCATTTTGCTTGGAGTTTTTAACTCTCCCGCAATTAGCAATCAACTTCAATAGAGTTCAGCTGTTTTAGCATCTGCAGAGCTGATGATGGCCAAATCAAGGAAACCTAGGCTGGTTAAGCCAGTGCAACAGTACTACAAACATCATATTTCAAGTATTACAAAGTCCATGCCCTTTGTCAGCTGCACAGCTGGAGCTAGACTTCAAGATCCCACAATTGCAGGTGCCTGTTCAGTAGAAGCAGGTATCAGTATAGATATGTCCAGTTATGCCATTGCAGCCTATTGAGGGGTTAATTGAGATCCTCATCTTTTTACTTGTTTTCTAGCATGATTAGTTTTTTTCTACAACAAAATCAGGCATGACTTTCAAATACATGTAATGATAGGCCTGATAGTGCTAGGACTTAATGCAAAATGTGAAATGCTATGGAGAAAGTATAAGGGTCCCATTTCATCATTAAAGCAAGAAAGTGTGCCAACGTTGAATTTGCATGACATGCAGACTTAAAATATGATTGCTCAGTTTATGACTCAGCATGTTATAAAGGTACTCAGGGTTGAGCTGTTGTGATTGAGAGTATTGTGGAAGCCTAGATCACAAAGTTAATTGTTAACATGGTTGCATTGGGGCTTCAGGATTGGAAAAGAGCCCCCCCCCCCCCCCAAAAAAAATAGTAGAGACTATATTCAGTTCAATGTTGAAATGTTGGGTTCTTGGCATTTGCTGAGCTGGGTTGTTTTCTTGCAGATGCTTTTTTTACCAGGTTAGGTTAACATCAGTGCCTGAGGAGTGAGTTTGCTGGCTGATTACATAGAGCAGGGGCCTCAAACTTGGCAACTTTAAGACTTGTGGACTTCAACTCCCAGAATTTTCCAGCCAGCTTAGCTGAAGAATTCTGGGAATTGAAGTCCACAAGTCTTAAAGTTGCTAAGTTTGGAGACCTCTGACATAGAGCTTGCCCTGCCAATCGTACTTGGGATGTGGTTCCTTCTTGATGGTTCCCTATTTAAAGTAATAAAATGTCTGTGAAAATGACCCAGCTTGGCAAACACAAAGAGGGGGGTCCCCAAACTTAGTAATTTTAAGACTTGTGGATTTCAACTCCCAGAATTCTCCAGCCAGCCTGGGAGTTGAAGTCCACAAGTCTTAAAGTTGCCAAGTTTGGAGACCTCTGGTCTAATAGATGGTTTTGAAAAATATCCCGCTAAGACATATAGATGTTGAGGCAATTAGGAAGCATAGGTAGAAGAAGGACAATCCTATAGAGTAGTATTGTCCAATCTTGGCAACTCTTAAAACTCTTCAACTCTCAGCATTCCCCAGCCATCGTGGCTGGCTGAGAAATTCTGGGAGTTGAAGGCCACAGGTCTTAAAGTTGCCAAGGTTGGACACTCCTCCTACAGAGTGAAATATAAGTAATCTCAAGCCCCCTCTGGGTTCTCTGGGGTTTTTAGATGCTCTGGCCCATTTTGTGGTGCTGTGCATTTACCTGGCACCTTCCCCATATCTCCAACAGGTTAGGCAGGTAGAGAACTCACAACCTGAATGTCTCCCTTTCAAGGGAGATCGACTAATTATGTGCCACCAAGTTATTGTCTTAGTGGCCATATAGATTTTTTCCATGAGATTTTTTTTCCCTAACCTGGTCCTTTAGCTCTTCTAAGAAGGCACTCACCACCACTGTAACTGAGTACACCTTGTACTGGTTGTCCTCTTCTTTATTAATCAAATTCATAGAGCTGCAACTTTGGGTGGCACATAATGAATAAAATAGCTAACATAAAAAGATAAAAATCTAAAAAGACCCCTACAGTAATTAACATAAAAACAAAAATAGTAACCATGGGCAGAGTGTGATGGAATATGCAGCAAGAAAAAGAGTGGGAGGGGAATCTTGGCAATCACTCTGTGGCTGTATAGAACAGAATAACAGAGTTGGAAGGGACCTTGGAGGTCTTCTAGTCCAACCCCCTGCTTAGGCAGGAAACCCTATATTACTTCAGACAATTGGTTATCCAATCTTTTCTTAAAAACTTCCAGTGTTTTAGCATTCACAACTCCTGGAGGCAAGTTGTTCCACTTATTAATTGTTCTGTCAGGAAATTTCTCCTTAATTCTAGATTGCTTTTCTTCTTGATTAGTTTCCACCCGTTGCTTCTTGTTCTGCCTTTGAGTGCTTTGGAGAATAGCTTGACTCCCTCTTCTTCATGGCAGCCCCTGAGATATCAGACACTGCTATCATATCACCCTTAGACCTTCTTTTCATTAAATGAGACATACATAAGGCAGCATGTTCCTGAGAGAGGCACAATATGTGATACTGTGCAGTCCTGAACTCCATGGGGATAAGGAGGAAACGATTTACCATAGCCACACCTTAGTATTTCACAGGTTATATCTTTTAGGTTAGAAGATTATAGCCTTAATCTGGTGAGACTCTGTCTATTAGGTGTAAGCAAATAAAGAACTGGACTTGACTGGATTCCCTAGAGTCATCTTTGAGCTTAGGCCAAATGTGTAGGGAGGATAAAATGGCGCCCCTCAGCAATACAGCCCATTGAGATAAATCCCCCTAGAAGCCCCAGTTCTGGCAGCATAAACCAGGTTTCGGGGAGCCTTTAAAAACAATATCGAAAGATTCTTCTTCCCTTTCCTTCCATCCTTACCAGCATTAAAGCTTTATCTGGAGAGGGAGGTTTTCCTATAATGTGTTTGAAGTAGGGTAATTTGAGCCAAGCCATTGGTGCCTTGAGTAAAAGCTCTCAGTTAATTTGTTTGATGAGCCATTGGGGTTTTTTTTTTTTGGCTGTCCGTGGTTTTCTCAGAAATCTTTTCAATACCAAAATTCAAAGGCATCAGTACTCTGCCTATCCTGCTCCTTTAAAGTTCAACTTTTGCTTCCATAGAGTGTCACAGGGAGTACTACGGCTTGTACAATCCTTATCTTTGTAAGTAAAGATACATCATGGCATTTAAATATAGTATCTTTTCCAAGGCCTTCCTGGCTGCCAAATACAAATCTGCAGTGTTAATCTGCAGTGTATTTCTTAACTGCTTTTGCTTTTACTTATTGATGGATAATCTTAAGAGACAGAAGCTACCCACCACTTCAACATCTTCGCTGTCATTTCTAAGGCTGGTTGTTCTAAGGCTAGTTTAGTCTTTTTAAAATAGTTTATAATTTTACTCCCCCACCCCCTTTCACTGTGCTCCTTTAATTTTATTACTATGGCTTGCAGATCTTTTCCATTTTGGGGTAGAGCTATAGTGTCATCAGCATAACACAGGTTATTGATGTTTCTTGCTCAAGTTTTAAAATCGTGTTAATCTTTATGTAATCCAGTTTCCCTAATTCAGCAGATAGATTGAATAAATAAAGGGAAAGTGCCTTTACTGCACTCCTTTGCCAAACTGGAGCCAGTCTATTTTGTTATGTTCTGTCAATATTGAAGCTGTCTGACCTATATATAAATTTCTCACAAGGATAGTGAGATGTTCTAAAGTGCCACCCTCCCCCTTTTAATCCATTCTACCACTTGATATGATTGACACAATCAAAGGCCTTTGTATAACCAATGAAGCACATGGCCTTTTTTTTTTGGCCTTTCTCAGTTATCTAGCATGCATTGACATGTCTTGTATTCGTCAGCTTTGTCTAAAGTCAGTTTGAACATATGGCCTCTCTTTTTCCAATGTAGAGTTCTAATCTGCATTGGATAATCCTAAGTATTATTTTATTAGCATGTGAAATTAAGGATGTAGAAAGTGTCTCTAGAGAATTTTGTATCAATAAAGAATATGTAGGAGGAGTTTAGAACTGGAAGATTCTGGACAAAATAGATGACAGTATTGATTTGCTATCAGAAACTCCTGTTGCCCAGAGATTTCAAGTGATATAAAACTCAGTGAAAACTAAATGTGCTGTGATAAATACAATATCAGAGCACAATCAAAATATTAGAATCAATTAAAAACAGTGGATAGAAGAACAGGAGACTGCTAGATTAATGGGGATTTCTAGCTAAATGCTTAATTCATAGAGATTAGCAGAGTCTTTGAATCAAAATACTAACTTTGTGTCCCTAAATCCTCCTCCAGCAACCATAGATTCTTCTTTGATTCCTAGGATGGTACATTTTTAAATGTGTTGTGGCCCGCACTTCCAATGAAGGCTGCCTAGCGAGGTTCTCATGAAGATGCAAATGTTGCAGAGGTGGTATTCAGCAGGTTCTGACCAGTTCTGGAGAACCAGTAGTGGAAATTTTGGGTAGTTCGGAGAACTGGCAAATACCGCCTCTGACTGGAGGTTTTACAGTATCCTTCCCCTGCCACACCCACCAAGCCATGCCCACAGAACAGGTAGTAAAAAAAATTGAATCCCACTACTGAAATATTGCCATTTCATTGTTCTATTTTCAGGAATTCTCGATCCTCTGGAAAGCAGTCTACATGTTGCAACTAGGAACCCAAAGTCTAATTGTGAAATAATTGAGTTTAACTCTTTGATATGTCACTCGGCATCCACCCAAGTGCAGCCCACAGTGGAGGAGGAATATAGAACCTCATGTGGCCAAATCAAAAAATGCTGTGGAAATGATGACATGGCTGCATGACCTTAGAACTCAAGCCACTTTTAACCAAGAGGGAAAAAAAAGGTCTTCATGTATACATTGTAACTTCTTGGTGTGATTTGTCCTCTCTCCAGGCTTTATAACAATGCAGGCAGACAAGTGGAAAAAAATTCTAGTATTTTATAAAACTGTGGTCACCCCCCAACAAGACAGCAATCTTTTATCTTTCAGTCCAGGTCTTATTTCTAATCAAATAAGGGGCTCACAAGCATTGAGGTTCGAGAAGCTGCAAAATGGGCCAAATGGAGCAATGGCATTAAGGATGATATTTTATTTTTATTTGACAATTCTAGGCTTTACTTTCAAACCTGAGTATGTTACTGCAGTGCTTGATTGCTGCAAAAATGCTCTTTCTGCTACAGCCTTGTTTTATTATTAGATTTATTTTTAATGCCGCCTTAATGACTTTGTAAGTAACTCAAGTTGGCAAATATACCTAATGTTTCTCCCTCCTGGTTTTTGCCAAAACAATCCTGCAAGGTAGGTTGGGCTGAGAGAGAATAGTGACTGCCTCAAAGTCACCCAAACTAGTTTTACAACCCAGTTGGGAGAATAAGTGTTTTGGGTGGGGAAGAATCCTACCCCAATCACGTGGTCGAGAAAGTGAAATCATTTAGAAGTGAGATATACTTTAAATTTAAATAGGTACCTTAACCCCATTTTTGTTGTTAACTGAAGTCTTGAAGTGAATGGATCCCCCCAAAATCAGCACTGATACGAAGCGCATAACATTCTCCCTGAAAGTTCTCAGTCAGAGAAAAAAAAAATGAAGGGGGAGAAAGGACAGCGGCTCCTTTCATTGCAAGGCAAGGCAGTGAAAATGCCAGAAGGGAATTCTAAGCTTTGTCATTGGGTGGAATGCAAAAAGTAAGAGGAACAGCCAATCACTGGTGAGAGGGGCGGAGAAGAGTTAGCAAAAAGGGAAAGGGAATGTTCTTTTTGCGCCAACTCAGGTTTGAGCACAAAGAGCCGATCCAGTTCTACAGAGGAATTATTGAGTCTGTCATCTGCACCTCTGTAACTGTTTGATTTGGTTCTGCAACCCAACAGGACAGACACAGACTTCAGAGGATAAGTAGGACTGCAGAAAAAACAATTGCTACCAACCTGCCTTCAACCGTGGACCTGTACGCTGCACGAGTCAAAAAGAGGGCTATGAAAATATTTACAGACCCCTCACATCCCAGACATAAACTGTTTCAACTCCTTCCCTCAAAACGATGCTATAGAGCACTGCACAAGAGAACAACTGGACACAAGGACAGTTTTCCCCCAAATGCCATCACTCTGCTAAACAAATAATTCCCTCAACACTGTTCAACTATTTACAAAGTCTGCACTCCTATTACTATTAATCTTCTCATCACTCCTTATCACCCATCCCCTCCCACTTGTGACTGTATGACTGTAACTTTGTCGCTTGTATCCTTACGATTTATATTGACTGTTTCCTAGCATGATTTGATTGCTTATTGTACCCTATGACTATCATTAAGTGTCGTACCTGATGATTCTTGTCTCTTGATGAATATATCTTTTCTTTTATGTAAACTGAGAGCATTTGCACCAAGGCAAATTCCTTGCTCGTCCAATCACACTTGGCCAAGAAAGAATTCTATCTATCTCTCTAAGCTTTGTCATTGGGTGGAAGGCAAAAGGGGGAGGAAACAGCCAATCGCCAGTGAGAGGGCCGGAGAGTAGTCGTAAAAAAGGGAAAGGGAATTCTAAGCTTTGTCATTGGGTGGAACGCAAAAAGTGGGAGGAGCAGTTAATCGCCGGCGAGAGAGTCGGAGAACCGGAGAAGACGAGCCTTCTTTCTCCACCAGGAAATGATCGGCGATAGGCGAGGAACCAGCGGAGGAAGCCTTCTGGCCACGTGATTCTAAGGCAGGGGCGGGATTCATTTGAGTGACTTCGCTGCGGGGCGAACCGGCGAGGCGCTTGACTCGCTGGGGAGGAAGCCGTAGGATTCTTCAGCGAAGCTGTCGCCGAGAGTTGGCGGCTGATTTTCGGAGGTAGTATGACGGGCGTTGCGATGAAACTGAAAGCGAGGTGGAGACGGGTTGCCTCCTGTGGGCTTGGAGCTGGGAGGCGTTAGCACGTGGGGAAAGCCGGTGCTCGCAACTGGGGGGTGCGGTCGCGGGGAGGAAGAGGCATTTTTAAGTAAAGCCCATTGGAGTTAAATAAAACCAGTATTCTGCTGGGAAAATAAGTCAGTTAAACGCTGCTCCGTATAGTTGTGATGCTGTGTTTGCAGTGGTGAGCTCGCAGGAGGCTTCTGTCATGCATGTACACACACACACACACACACACACACACACGTGTACACCGAAATTCACGTGCAAATAGGAACTTTATAATGATTTATTATGACCGTCCTCTCCAGTTTTGTATGGTCTTTTGTGTGTGTGTAATGGTTGGATTACTATGGCGCCCACTACTTTAATGGATTTAGCCAAAATTAACTTTAAAAAATGTTTATGGTCAGAATAATTTTTTTATTGTAGAAATGTAAACTTACATTATGTCTATGTTCTCTCTTAGGTATATCATTCTTCCAGGAGAGGGAGAGGGAGGGAGGGAGGGGGGAGAGAGAGAGAGAGGGGGGGAGGGGGGAGGGGGGGGGGGGTTCAAAACCTGGTGGGAGGGGAATGTGCAGTGATGCATCATGGAACTTGTATGCTTTAACATGAGGGATGGCAGTATCTGTTTTTTTATGTAATAAAGCAGTTTGACATTTTACCTTAATACTACTAGAGGTACCAGCAGTGGCGGATTAAGGCTCACTGGTGCGAGTGTGACAAATCTTGCTACCCCCTGTACCGTACAAACGAAGCCAAGTAGGCTACATAAAAGTTTATGTGGTGTCCCCTTTGGGCCTGGTGCCCTAAGCCCTTGCTTAGTCTGCTTAATAGTTAATACCAGAGGTGGGTTTTCAGCAGGTTCTGACCAGTTCTGGGGAACCGGTAGCAGAAATTTTGAGTAGTTTGGAGAACCAGCAAATACCACCTCTGACTGGCCTTGCCCCATCTATTCTCTGCCTCCCGAGTCCCAGCTGATCAGTTAGGTCTTCTTTTGTTGCCCTGCACAGGAGAACGGAGCTGGAAAGCAGGTTAGTGGGGTGGGGAGGGAATGGAGATTTTGCAGTATTCTTCCCCTGGCATGCCCACCAAGCAACACCATATCCACCAAGCCACGCCCACAGAACCGGTAGTAAATTTTTTTGAATCTAATACACTACTGGGTTACCAGTCGTGGTCTGAAGGAATCTGGATCATGGCTAGACAGTGGCTCAAAATGGAAGGTCCTTTCTGTTGCCTCCTACTGGTCGTTTGGACTTTTGCAGGCCAGATCAGATAACCCTAGGATTCTGTCCCAAGGTAGATGACCTCTGTGAACTTCCTGCATCATATAAAATAATATGATAGAAAATTTGGGATCTGCTGAGAAGATTGTTAATTAAAAAATATTAAAGGGGCAGAGGAGGAACCGATAAGGGAAAGTAATGGGCGGTGAGAGAAATAATATGAAGGTGGAGTAGGTCAGTATCCACTAAGAAGTTTTTTTTTTTTAATTAACATCACTGTTTAAGGGCTCCTTTTCTTTATGCAGCTTTTAATGCTTCTTTTCAAAATAGTATTCAAATGTTTCTGAATTTCTGAAATAAGGATGACTCTCAATGAATGAAATAATTATGAACCTTCTAAAAATCTCTTTGCACCTCTTAGCTGGTCTCTTATATTCTTTGCCAAAGAAGACCAGTTCTTTCAGGCAATAATTCAATGTTTTATTATGGGGTGTGGGTTTTTTTCTTTTCTTTTTGCCTTCCAGGTAATTTGCGGTTAATTTCACATGTCACCCGAAAGTGTGATAGTTACCGTTCGTCTTATTCGCTCTTTTGAGCATCGTAATTTCAGGCCCGTCTTGTACCGTGATGTTAACCTGGACCAGACTGTAAAAGAATTCATTGCGTTTGTGAAGAAAGGTAAGAAGCTGTGAAGGTTGACTTGGCTGGTCAGTGCACTGAAAGACTAATTGACAGAACCAAGGTGGGGAGAAAAGGGAAAAGGGAGTTTGCTGACAGCTCTCTGGCAGAAGAATTGGAGCATGTACATTTTTTGCCTGCAAAATGCATATTTAGACAAGCTGGAGAAAAAAAAAATCACCAGAACTACAGTGTTACAGCCAGCCAGCCAGCCAGCCAGGACATCAGTCATGTGTTGGTTGGGCCAGTTGTCTGATTTGATTATTTCCTTTGTTCCTACAGTGTTTCTCTTGGACCATGATTTGGAAAAGTCAAACTCAGTAAAGCTTTATTTCTCTCAGAATACTTGCTTTCTCAGAGATAATCAATCTACAAAGCAACATTTTTTTTAACAGTACCATATGTTAAGACATTATGGGAGCCAGTTTAATTAAGACACCAGGCTAGAAACAGAGAGATAGTGAGTTCTAGTCCTCTCTTAGGCATGAAGCCAACTGACTTTGGGCCAGTCACACTTTCTCCAGCCTAGAAAAATGCAATGGCAAACCACTTCTGGAAAATTTTGCCAAGAAACTGCAGGCAAGCAGTCATTAGGTGACTTAAAGGCTCCAAATAAACAAACAACAAGTTACAGCAGATTCTGAATTATAACATTTCAGTCTATAATCCAAGGGTCTTCAAACTTGGCAAGTTTAAGACTTGTGGACTTCAACTCCCAGAATTCCTGAGCTAATATTACTGGAGGAAGAATTCTGGGAATTGAAGTCCACAAGTCTTAAAGCTGTCAAGTTTGAAGACCCCTGCTTATAATCAGTAATATGATGGTTGTATCCATTGTATAGGCTAACTGTGTTTACAGGTAGTCCTCATTTAACAATGCTAACAATCAAAAAGTAAACAATATTCCAGTGAAGGAACTAACAATTCAGACAAACAAGTTAACAGTAAACAACAGCTTAATCAAGGAAACACCAAGACCACTCTCACCAATAGTGAAAGGGCAAGCCACTAGTATATAAAATGAGAGCAAACCCACTCCCTTCTCACACTGATGATGTTATCTAGTTCAGGGGTTGCCAACCTTTTGGACCTCAGGGACCACCAAACTCATAATTTTAAATCCTGTGGACCAGAGACCCTGGGAAAATCCCCCCCAAAAGTCTGCAGGAAAATTCTCCACCCTGTTTTCCTACCGATCGATCATTCTTTATTGGGGAATCTCAGGATACCATCTCCAGCTCCGTTCTCGGGGGGGGGGGGGGACTTTTGGCTTCATGCAAGGAAAGCAGCAGAAATCTTTCTTTCTCTCCCTCAAACTCTGCCAGAAGTGAGTCTTTGTGAGATTTGTCGCACCGGTGCAGCCTCTTGGAGCAGGATGCTTTGCAGGGTCCCAAAGATTCATTTCTGGAAGAGTTTGGGGGAGAGAAAGAAAGACTTTTGCTGCTTTCCTTGTGTGCAGCTAAAAGCAGAAGAAGAAAGAAGCGGAAAGAAGCAGCCCGGTGGCCAGGCGAGGCATGTGGGGTGAGTGGGGCAAGTTTCCCCCCTCTGCCCTTTCCCTCCTTCCCTCACTATCTCATGTTGCTCGCAATGCAAGCCACGCAAGTCCTGCGTTCCCACGGGCCACGTGGGTACCGCAGCCTTGTGTTCCTGTACAGCTTGGATTGCTTTGGGGGGTGCTTTGGTGGTGACATTTCTCTGCGGGCCACCAAAATTTTCTTGTGGACCACCAGTGGTCCCTGGCCCACTGGTTGGCGACCACTGATCTAATTGAATATTGAAACGTCTGCAAAAAAAACAACCAAGCTCAGAGAGCACCAAGGATCCCACAGTGCTAATTGGAACCAGAAACTCCATGGTTAAATGGCACGGGCATAAGTTGAAAAATAAGACGATTACACCACTTAGCAATGGCAGTCCTGGTTACTTTGTAAAGAAAGGATTAGTTGAGTCATTAAATGAAGAGTCCTTATGTGATTCTGGCTTATAATAATGTCCTGCCGATTTCCTTACTGACTTGCTTGTTGGAAACCGGTAGGAAAGGTTTCCAAATTGCAACTCTTGTGATTTCAAGACTCTGTGACATCATCAGTACGAGGGCTAGTAGCTGGCGCTCATTCAGCACTGTTGTGAGTTTAAACAATCATTTGAATGAGGGGTTGTTAATTGAAAACCACTTGTATTGGATGTAAAAGTGAACCCTCCCCACACCAAACCTAAAAATGGCACAAACCTTCCATACTATTACCATGAAAACTCTGCAGAACACCCATGTAGTCCACAGACATCAAGCCCACCTCGAACATGACTTTAATAAAATATGACGATCTTCATCGGTATGATATCAGTCTCTGATAACTACATAGATAGAGCTGACCAGTTTTCTTGGGAGTGTTGTGGTTTGCCGGCAACAGGTGTGGATGGATGAGGTCTCCGAGAGTGAGGACTCAGATGAGGGGCCTGTGTGTGATGCAGGGATGGGGCCAGGACCATCAGGGAGTGGAATGCTGCCTTTGGAGATTGTGGAGGCTGGCAGCAGTGATGAAGTAGTCCCCAAGGAGCCCATGCCCAGCGTGCATTCGTGCAGGGCTGCTCAAGGAAAGAGCAGCTGTGGCAGCATGGGCGACTTGGGAGTAAGGCTGGAAGGTAATGGCCCCTCCCCGAGATCATAAAAGCCAGCTGAGAAACCACAGTTCTTTGCAGAAGGCAAAGAAGTTTGATACTGGAGCCTGGTGGATGTTAGAATATCTCAGTTAGTGCTTGGAGACTCTTGGATTTATTGTTTAGGAACTTTATCTGTTGTTCTTGGCAGCCAAGGCTCTTTCCTGTCGGGGCTAATTAGTTGGAAACAGCCTTTTGTCTGTGAAGAAACAGGATTCGTTCATGAAACAGACCAAGGTTCTGCTGTTACCTTCGTCTTGTGTTTACTCTCTTAGAACCAGGTTTGGGTCAGAACAGGGAGGGTTTTGTCACTGCCCTCTTGCACAGGGGTGGGCTTAAAATTTTTTAGCAAATGGTTCTCTGCCTGGTTGCTGGGTGGGCGTGGCCATGGTGGGCGTGGCCTAGTGGGTCTCCGGCACCAGGGCGGGGGAGGGCGTTTTTGCCCTCCCTGGGCTCTGGAGGCTTTTCTCAAGCCTCCAGAAGGGCGAAAACGGTCTCTCCGGGCTCCGGAGGCTCTCTAGAACAGGGGTCTCAACCTTGACAACTTTAAGCCTGGAGGACTTCAACTCCCAGAATCCCCCAGCCAGCTTTGCTGGCTGGGGAATTCTGGGAGTTGAAGTCCTCCAGGCTTAAAGTTGCTAAGGTTGGAGACCCCTGCTCTAGAAGCCGGAAACAGGCCCAATTCTGGCCTTCCAGGAGGCCCATGTTTTACCCTCTTCTAGCCTCCGTACACTTTACCTGCATCCAAAACGGGCTGCCTGGGGACCCCTTGGAGAGGCCGGGTGAGATGGCCAGGAGTGGAATCTGAGGGTTCTCCAAACTGCACAGAATCTTAGCTAGGTTCCCTGCGAACCCCCAGCAGCACCCCGCCCCCCCGATCTTGCGCGATGCTTTCTCAGTCTAGCCGATAATTCTGGTGGGCTCCCACCTGAGGACTTGCCAGGTTGGACCCCGTTTAATCTTTCAAGATCAGTGAAAGTGTGACTAGGTGCTGCCACCTATTGGTCCCTTTGGGAGGACATCTCATTGCCACCTATTTGACTTCATTTGTAAGTTGGTTCCATTGGATTGGGTGGAAAACATTTTTCTATTCATTTTTCCTGCTTTTTATCTTTTCTCTTGGTCTAAGATAATGATCCAGGTGCTTATGTACAGTGTTAAATGTAAGGGAAAATGTTGGTTTTGATTTTGAAATGTTGATTAAATGTTGATTTTCATTTTTGCTCCCCCTCTAGATATTATCTTGAGGACAGAACTTTTGCCACCTTTCAGAAAACATACATATGGTAATTTCCTTTCCTTATTTTTAAAACCACCTTTAAATATTAACACAAATTCTGCTTTGAATAAAGTAAGGGACAATCCATGAAAGCATGGATATCAATTTGGCTTGGTTTTCTAATTCATTCAAACTTTCTTTGAAGATTTAACCCATAAAAGTCTGGAGACCAGGGAATTATTTAGTAAGGATCAGTGGAGCCACTGATTGATGTGGTGTACATTTAATTTTATGTCTCAAACAATTATCTGAATTGTAGAAATGTATTTACCGTAGGAGACCTTGTGCTGGGGAAGCCAGTGATAGAAATCAATTATTTCTGAAGACAACTTAATTTCTTTTCTTTCTTTTTTCCCATTTTCTGTCTTTTAATTTGCCTCTGATTTTAAAATCCTAATCCTAAATCAATAAATAAAGGCTTGCAATCTTATTGATTTAGTAATGCTCATGTTGGTCAATGTTACCAGTCTTTAATGCATGTATTCCTATGAGTAAAACTATTGAAGGAAGAATTTCCATTTGCTTCCTCTTGAGTAAACAGCATAACTGAATTGGCTTTTCCCTGGAGCTGGCTAGTAGTTGTCTTAGTGATGTGGGTGGAAAAGATTTCTTGATAGGAACCAGAGAAACCTACTCCATCACTGGACAAGGTTGGTGAGTTATTAATGATGTGGTCTACATTTTTGAGCTGCACCAATACGATGGCAGCATTAATCATTTCTATCAATCAAATTTGATCATTAAGATCAAGAGAACAATACATGTTCTCTAGTATGATATCTGTAGAGGGGACAGAAAGTAGAGGAATGTCAGAAATAATGTCACATAACAAAGGATCAAGTGTCTGGGTACCCACATTATTGCAAGACACGTCATCAGAACATCTCCAGGTATGACTACCCAGAGTGTAACACAAACATAACAAAATCTAAAACATAAATAAATGTCCTTTAATGCCTTCAACTTGGCCCCCACTATTCAATAATTCTCAGTTGGAGATAAAACTTATTCAAAAATAGTCTTTAAAAGAAAGCAATACAGTCCTAACTTAATGAACAGATAGAGGTGAAATAAAAAACCCAAAACAAACTACAATGAAGGAAATTCCATAACTGACCAGGATAAATAATTACCAAATTCAAGGAGATAACAAGGCACAGTCTGTTGGAAGGAAGCCAACCAAGATAACTTCAGCCCAAAATAACACAGACTTTACTTCTGGCAACTCTGTATTGTAAAATCTCTCTTATATACTATTCTCCCCAGCTTCAACTAATGAGGGAGATCATGCCCGCTTCCTCTCTCATAAGCCAAGTTGTTTCCTTCTCAGTTCCTCCCTGAGTGTCCTAGGATGAAGAGGGGATGGGCCAGGTTCTTCCTCTGACTGCCCAGCCTCCTCCACAACCTCTGGAGCCATACCTCCACTCCCTGTTGGCTGTTCCTCCTCTCCTGCAAGCCTCACTGTACCAAGGGCATGACACCAGATGTTGGGGAATGGAGACCAAGTTTTACTCAAAAAATATCTTTGGCAATGCATCAGCTGTTTGAATTATGACCAAATCACTACTAAGATGTGCCACTAGGCCAATTGTAGGTGTTGGTTTGCTTATACAACTGCAGGTGTTGGGTTGTATTGCTAGAGACAAGAGGCTCCTGATTTTGAACCTGTCATAGACTTAAAAACACAAGAGAATGGTATTATACCACTGCCAACTGATTCAGAGATACACCTGCTGTCATTCTGGAGGTCTAGACAAGTTGAAGGGATGTAGTTTGACATGGTCTTTTCTTTTAATGTTTAATGATCTTTCCAGAAATTGTGAGTGCTTCAGCACTGGAGGTTTTTAAGAAGTGATAGGACAACCATTTGCTTGAAATAGTATAGGGTTTCCTGCTTAAGCAGGGGGTTGGACTAGAAGGCCTCTAAGGTTCCCTCCAACTCTGTTATTCTGTTAATAACATTCTTGTTCGCACTGAATTCTATGACTTGTTAGCTGCCATCTCCCCACTCGTGTCAACAAGGTTGGATTCCTGGCAAGACCAGGAAAACTCATTCCTGACAAAATGTTTCCTATCCAAATTTTTAAAAAATAGAAAAAAAAATTCCTATCCAACAAAATGAAATTTAATGTAGAGAAAAGCAAGGTTTTGCACCTAGGCAGGAAAAACCAAAGGTACAAGAACAGATTAGATGAAACCTGGCTCAAAAACAGGAACTGTGAGAGGGACCTTGGAGTGCTAGTGGACGATCACTTAAACATGAGCCAGCAGTGTGCAAAAGCAATAAAAAAAGCGAACACTTCCTTGGTTGTATAAACCAGAGGCCTCCAACCTTGGTAACTTTAAGCCTGGAGGACTTCAATTCCCTTTAAGTCCTCCAGGCGTAAAAGTTGTCAAGGTTGGAGACCCCTGGTATAAACAAAGGCATAGAATCAAAATCATGTGAAGTATTAGTACCACTTTAAAAAAAACCTTAGTAAGACCACATAAGACCACACCTGGAATGCAACATCCAGTTTTGGTCACCACATTACAAAAAAAGATGTTGAACTTTTGGAAAAAGGGCAGAGAAGAGCAACTAGGACCTGGGTGTCAAACTATCCCGTCATGTGACATATCGTGATGTATGGCAAGGTTTTTTTGACTTTGGGGAGCCGGGGTGGGTGTGGCCTGTGTGTGACTCATCCGGCCCGTGAGCTGCCACTTTGACAGGTCTGAACTAGGATGATTAAAGGCCTGAAGACAAAAACAAGAACGGTTGCAGGAACTGGGTATGGCTAGTGTAGAGAGGGAAAAAAAAGGACTAGGAATGACATGATACCACTATTCCAGTATTTGAGGAGCTGCCACAAAGAAGAGAGGATCAATTTATTTTCCAAAGCACAAGAAGTCAAAACGAGAAACAATGGATGGGAACTAATCCAGGAGAGAAACAACCTAGAATAAAGGATAAACTTCCTAATTTCCTAAAAATTAACCGGTGAAACAACTTGCCTTTGAAGTTGTAGGTGCTTCATCACTGGAGGTTTTTAAGAAGAGACTGGACAGTCCCTTGCCTCTAATTGCATACGCTCTCCCTCCTTCCTGAACAAGGAGTTGGACTAGAAGACCTCCAGGGTTCCTTCCAGCTTTATTCTGATTGAGTGATTGAAAAATATGAGGCACTGCAATTCCATTGTACTGAGAACTTTTCCTTCTGGAGTTGTATCCTGGCATTCAACTTCCACATTCGCCTGTATGTTATTCATTCATTGTATTAATTATCAGAGTTGTCCTTGGGGTATGATTTTTCTAATATCCCAAAATGCTTTTTGGACTTGACTTCCATGCTGAAATGCCAGCCGTGACCCACAATCCTTTGAACTCAGTTTCTTCCATGCTTCTGCATTTCAATAGCCAGCAACTAATTGTGAGGTCAAGAAGGGGGAATCAAGTAGGAGCCGGAAGCAAAGAATAAGAATTATGTGCTGAAAGAATTTACATAGTAAGTAAGGCACAAATGAGAGCAGAGATAAACAAATAGGATTCTAAGATGAATTTGCTAGGCGAAGTAATATTTAAATCAAAATGAGTCAGTAAAATAAAAGATAAATCAATTGTAAGAGTCCATTTACATCAATTATACAGATATGCAATGGTTTGAAACAATTAAATGTTTAGCTGTATATCTATTAACATTCACTTAATAACCATGCCAGGTTTTTCAGTAAATAAATTTGCATGTTATAATGTAATGGACCATGTTGTTGTAGGAAGAGTGGCAAATGTTTAAAAAATAATAATGCACATCCCTTTGGACAAGTAAAAAATTATATCTGTGCTTAGACGGATCAGGAATGTCTCTTATATAGTATTTAACTAATTCTGAGAATATAGTGCTAAAATGTATAAATGTTAAAATTTTCCCAGGAAAATTTGCATCACTTTTTTGCAGGTTTTTTTAAAAGGAGAAAAATATACTAAAATGACTTAGAGGTGGTTTTTTTTTTTTTCAAAAATAGTAAGAATTGACAAAATTGTATAACCAACCTATTAAGATTAAGAGACAGTAGGTGGCAGAGTTCTATAGTAAAGCCCTCGCATGGTACACTGAGAAAAAAGCTTGAATAGGAGTGAGTATGTTTTAAAGTTTTATTTGTTTTTATTTATTATTTTTTAATTAAACCAACAAATTGTGTATTAGGGTTACAAAAAACCCAAAGTGGTCTTTTAATAGATGCTAGTTTCTGCCACAATCTGATAATGGCTTGAAATCACAAGATATTGATTAATGTAGTTGATACAATTTAGTCCCATTGTTTTCTCATTCCACTGAATACTTTTATTTTAAAATGATGCAGGGGGATAGAAAGTAGAGGAGAGCCCTTGAGGATCTGATGAACTTTCTCTTTATGGTGAAAATAGTGTAGTATTTTTTCCTCTTTTGGAAATATTAAACATACCTTGCATTTACAAAGATAATAAAAAGTGATGCAGAGTTAAGATCTACCTTGATGGATTGGTGTCAAAGGAATAAATTTCTCCTCCTGTTAGATCTACTCTGGATGGTTAAGAAAGCAAGGTCAGATAAACAGAAATTTGCTTATTAAACTTTACAGTATTGCCCAAAGATAAATATGGAAATATCTGTTAATTTGGGGGAAAAATATTAGTTTTGATTTCTAAATTATCTAAAGCCTCATACAGGTGGTCCTCGAGTTATGACAATTGAGCTAAGCAAGCTAAGCTTGTTAAGTGAGTTTTGCCCAATTTTATGATCTATTTTTGCCACAAATTAATAGTTAAAGCTCATGCAAGGATGTATTTATACCAATTGCATTGATTTAATTTGTTTATACAGCTTTTATGCTGCTTCAATGAAACAGACAAATACAAGTGGCGTATAATTATATAATTTAAACCTAAAAACCTTTGAAATAAATTCTAAAGCCAGTGTTCCAATTCATCATAATGAAATAAATAATGACTGGCTGTAATCTTCTGTACTCTTAGTTGAGATCCATTGATTCATTGAGGTTTCCTTCTTGTTTTATGGGTCTACATTTATCCCAAGTGGCATCACTTCAAGAGGAAGTTTCTAACTGTGATATCTAACTAATTCTAGTAAAATGAATAAAAGTAATACTCTGCAGAATGAATGAAGCATGTACAAAATCAGGGAGGTGTCCATAAGTGTTTAAGATCAAACCTGTCTCAAAGTAAACAATCTCTTTCAGACACAATGAAGATTATCCATCAAGCACATGGCTCTAAGGTGCGTTTATCATTGCTTCTTTATTTCCTTCTGACGATCATGATGATGATATTATCCATTCTGTCGTGTCCGATTCTCTATAGTCCAGGTCTCCACATTTTCCAATCTTGCACTGCTTCTTTGAGTTTTGCTATGCTGTGGCATGGCTGGCTCAGGAATTCTGGGAGTTGAAGTCCACAAGTCATAAAGGGCCCATATTTCCCCACCTCCGCTCTAGATCGTTCTAATGTTTTTTTTTCCCTCTTGTTCTTGGAAAATATCGACTTCTCTCATTCCACCCTTCCTTTCCCCATGTTTCTAGACCAATGAACTTGTTGTGAGTTTAGAGGATGATGACAAACTCATTTTGCCAGAAGACAGCACCTTGAGAGCAGCTGGTGTAGGTAGGTTGCTCGTTTGAATTGACAGAAGATGTGGTTCATTATGCTGGCCTTTAGATTGGATTAGATTAAATTCAACTTTATTGTCATTGCCGTGGATACAGGCAACAAAATGCAGTTAGCATCCAACCAGAAGTGCAAAACAACAGTAAAATATAAATATATGTATGCAAATATGCAAGGCATCTATGAATATGTCAGTGGAAAACACAACAAAATGTATGTACACGGGCACACAAAGATAAGTGTGACTGCACATATATGAACAAATACAATTGTACAAAATGTTTATGGACACATTGAATATAAATACAAATGCACAGAGAATTATATAAAATACATCATATATTATCAAGGGAAGCATCAGCATATGTGTGGGGACAAACGAACGGAGGAGTTCAGCAAGGAAACCGCTGTGTAGTAAAAACTGTTCCCTAGCCTGCTGGTCTTAGGCTGCAGGCACCTGAACGTCCTCCCAGATGGAAGAAGAATAAACAGTTTGTGGGCTGGATGGAAGGGGTCCTTAACGATGCTGTGGGCTTTACGCAGACATCATTTCCTCTGAATGTCCACAATGGCAGGAAGTGGAATCCCTACAATGCGTTGGGCGGTTTTCACCACCCTCTGTAATGCCTTTTTTTCTTTTATAGTGCAATTTCCATACCAAATTGAAATACAGCTAGTTAAGATGCTCTTGACTGTGCAGCGGTAGAAATTAGTCAGAATAGCTGAGGAGAGGTGATTCTTCCTCAGTAATCTCAGGAAGAAGAGGCGCTGGTGAGCTTTCTTAATCAGACTAGTGGTGTTAATCTGCCAGGACAAGTCCTCAAGAGAGATGGATCCCAGGAACTTGAAGTTGGTGACCCATTCTCCCATTCTCCCATTGATGTATATAGGAGAGTGTGCGCGACTATTCTTTTTCCTGAAGTCCACAATGAGCTCTTTGGTCTTGTTAGTATTAAGTAATATGTTATTGTCAGTGCACTACGTAGCTAAGCACTGCACTTCCTCCCTGTACTCTGAATCATCGTCATCGTTGATGAGTCCGATCACCATAGTATCGTCTGCAAACTTGATAATGGTGTTAGAGCCATACACAGGCCTGCAGTCATAGGTGAAGAGAGAGAACAGGAAGGGGTTCAGCACACAGCCTTGGGGTACGCCAGTACTCAGTGTGATAGTAGATGAAGTGGAGTTATTCAACTTGACATGTTGTGGTCTGTTTGTCAAAAAGTCCAGTATCCAATTACAATTATTCTGAGAACAGCTGACTGTATTTGGATCGCCAGCCGAAAAGCAAACACTATTGCTGGTGCTGGATGTACAAACCGGTAATTATTCAGGAGCCAGGAGAGGAGGCTTAATGTACATTCAAATCATTGGGCTTGAGGGCACTCTGTGTCTCCCTTCAGAATGCTAACGAAGGCATTTCTTTAAAGAAAAGAAAAGGAAAGAAGGTATGCCTAGAACTCTGTGGAGAGTAATTTTAAATGATTGACAGTTTGGTTATTAGAACTACGTCTGCTTCGTCTTTTCAGTAACATTTAAATGGACGGTTTGGTTGGAAATTTAAGAAGGGGAAACTAGCGAGGAGACATGAGAGAGGCATCTGTTTAATAAAGCATAGCGGTGAAACCACCCAGATTTTTGAAGCAGAGTGCCCTGGGGTATGTAGAGAAAGAGGATTGTATAGGCCAAACCAGGTGGCTGTAGGGTGCTGGTAAAATATTGATTTGGCAGTCCTTGTTCAGTGACTGTCTTTATTTATTAAATTTGTTTGCTGCCCATGTTGCCACAAGGCGACTCAGGGCAGCTTACAGCATTAAAATGAAACCATAAATATATCAATAAAAGAGCCATGCAGAGTTGCCTTGCAGTAAGATGGGCGGCTAATAAATTTGACAAGCCAACAAACAAAATGACATTAAAATTAGAATTAAATACAAGGTGTGACTAAAGATGGGGAGGAGCAGAGGAGAAGAATATAGGGGAGGAAGCATTCATAAAAGTATTCCATAAAAGAATCAGTGGTGGGTCTTATCCAGCAGGGCCTGAGGAAAATGCAACCTTTGATGGTGAAGCGAGGAGAGGAAAAAATGGAGTGTTATCTGGCTAAGCTGTCCTTTCTGGCATTTGTTCAATTTAAGCCTTCAAGAAAGGGTGGTTATGAAACCCTCTAAAAGTACTCAAAATCATCTAAACAGTTCAACTGACAACAGAAGAGAATGTATCGTTCAGATAAGATACAGGTGAAACTCGAAAAATTAGAATATTGTGCAAAAGTTCATTTATTTTAGTAATGCAACTTGAGAGGTGAACCTAATAAATGAGATAGACTCATTACATGCAAAGCAAAACAGATCAAGCCGTGATGTGGCATAATTAAGATGATTATGGCTTACAACTCATGAAAACCCCAAATCCACAATCTCAGAAATTAGAATATTGTGAAAAGGTTCAATATTCTAGGTTCAAAGTGTCCCACTCTGATCAGCTAATGAAGCCATAACACCTGCAAAGGGTTCCTGAGCCTTCAAGTGGTCTCTCAGTCTGGTTCAGTAGGAATCACAATCATAGGAGAGACTGCTGACCTGACAGTTGTGCAGAAAACCATCATTGACACCCTCCATAAGGAGGGAAAGCCTCAAAAGGTAATTGCAAAAGAAGTTGGATGTTCCCAAAGTGCTGTATCAAAGCACATTAATAGAAAGTTATGTGGAAGGGGAAAGTGTGGAAGAAAAAGGTACACAAGCAGCAGGGATGACCGCAGCCTGGAGAGGATTGTCAGCAAAAGGCCATTCAAAAGTGTTGGGGACTTTCACAAGGAGCGGACTGAGGCTGGAGTCAGTGCATCAAGAGCCACCACACACAGACGGATCCTGGACATGGGCTTCAAATGTCCTATTCCTCTTGTCAGGCCACTCCTGAACAACAAACAACCTCAGAAGCGTCTTACCTGGGCTAAAGAAAAACAGAACTGGTCTGTTGCTCAGTGGTCCAAAGTCCTCTTTTCTGATGAGAGCAACTTTCGCGTCTCATTTGGAAAGCAAGGACCCAGAGTCTGGAGGAAGAATGGAGAGGCACACACTGCAAGATGTTGGAAGTCCAGTGTGAAATTTCCACAGTCTGTGTTGATTTGGGGAGCCATGTCATCTGCTGGTGTTGGTCCACTGTGCTTCATTAAGTCCAGGGTCAACGCAGCCGTCTACCAGGAGATTTTGGAGCACTTCATTCTTCCTTCCGCAGACGAACTTTATGAGGATGCTGACTTCAGTTTCTATCAGGACTTGGTACCTTCCCACACTGCCAAAAGCACCAAAACCTGGTTCAGTGACCGTGGGATTACTGTACTTGATTGGTTAGCAAACTTGCCTGATCTGAACCCCATAGAGAATCTACGGGGCATTGCCAAGAGAAAGATGAGAGACATGAGACCGAACAATGCAGAAGAGCTGAAGGCCACTATTGAAGCATCCTGGTCTTCCATAACACCTCAGCAGTGCCACAGGCTGATAGCTTCCATGCCACGCTGCATTGAGGCAGTAATTGCTGCAAAAGGGGCCCAAACCAAGTATTGAGTACATATGCATGCTTATACTTTTTAGCAGTCCAATATTGTTCTATGTACAATCCTTGTTTTATTGATTGCATGTAATATTCTAATTTTCTGAGATTGTGGATTTGGGGTTTTCATGAGCTGTAAACCATCATCATCTCAATTATGACACATCATGGCTTGAACTACTTTGTATGTAATGAGTCTATCGTGTATATTAGTTTCACCTTTTAAGTTGCATTACTGAAATAAATGAACTTTTGCACGATATTCTAATTTTTTGAGTTTCACCTGTAGTTTTGAAATGATTTGAACATCTCTCTTTATAAGAGGGAGTTAGTTTGTAGCAGAGGTGGTATTCAGCAGGTTCTGACCAGTTCTGGAGAACCGGTAGTGGAAATTTTGAGTAGTTCGGAAAACCAGCAAATACCACCTCTGACTGGAGATTTTGCAATATCCTTCCCCTGCCATGCCCACCAAGCCACGCCCACAGAACCAATAGTAAAAAAAATTGAATCCCACCACTGATTTGTAGGTAAAAAGGAAACACAACTTTCTTATATTTAGTGCATTAGTATCAGACACATTCATTTTTATCTATTATCTGAGGTTTATATGTCCAACAATGCTTAATTCATCTCATTTGAATAACAATAACCAGGATTGTAACCTTAAGAATAATTATAATGTATTAAAATCATAAATCATAATAACCATTAAAAAAAGGAAGCAACGGTGCCTCGTAGAGCAGCCTAACCTACAGCAGGGAAGTAGCTCTCATCCCCCTGTTAAGGTTTCTCTCATCTGCGTCTATTAAGTGTAGAGTCACTTAGATGAGAGGGTGGTATGGAAATTTAATGATAAAAAATAAAAATATATCACAGCTCTCCAGAAAATCCAGGTTTATAAACCATTCTGAAAAAACCACTAGTATGAGAGACCCAATCTAATTTTGGGAGGAACCCTGCTCTAAAGAAGGGGGCAGCATCTAAACATTGACGCTTTATCTCCTTTTTTCATAGAAAATTGAACGGAGAGATCTAGCATTTAAGTAAGCACAGAATATTTTTGTTCACTTGTAGAAGTTTTAGAATAAGGGTGGACATCTGAAGCTCGCTCCTAATGACGTCAAGGGGTCTACAAACCCAGATGTGACCTTCTGAACAGGCTCACTCATTGGAGAAAGACAACATGTGAGAATAACTGTTTAGGAGCCATCATGATCTGATGAGCAAGGTTTAAACAGGGTGCCATTCACCCAAAAAGTTCTATACAAAGTGCCCTGTTTTCACTTTTGATTCCTCCAGGGCCCTCTTTTCTCTTTCTGCAGATTTCCTAGTCAATATTCAGTCATAGCTCTCCCCGCCCCTTGGTCCTTTCTTCCTGACACACAGGCAGACTTCATTAACTTACAGTTTAATTTTAAAAAGCGAACTTGGTCGCTTCACACTTCAGAAGGCTGCCACTGTCTTCTAATTGTGATGACTTTCCATCAGCGATGTGTCTGCTCTGAATTAGTAATGTTGCTGACTTACTGTTTTAGAAGAAGTCCTTGACCTGCTGGTGGGAAGAACTGTGCCTGTTCTGAACCTCTGTGGTTCCTTGAGCTCTGCCAGATCCCCTGTGAATAATTAGAGGCATTTGAAGGTATTGCTGGAGAAGCCAATTTGTGTCTTTCACTTTGCATATTGTTGAAGCCTCATGAATTAATCATCGGCAGGGGGAAAAAATTAGCTGCTTCAGTCTCGCATTTGATGGGTCATGAGGGAGAATGTAAAGTGACCTGTAAAATATTCTACTGTTCCTCTAAGTATTAAATTATTACTGCTACAGGTTAATTTCAGGGGGAACCTCCCTCCTTTCTCACTCAATAGAACAAGGAATTTTAAAATACAGGTTTAGCCATTTTCTTATGTCTTGAAACGATAATACAATGAAAGAGAAGAAGTAATGCTTTCAGCTTGTGGAATGCTATCTCAATGTCTTCGTTTTGCGTTTTGCTTTTTAAGCAAGGGTGCTTCCCTGTTCCTTCTGCCAAGCCTAGTATTTCTTCTTGCCATTGGGATCAGTCGTAAAAAGATGTTAATCAACAACAGCCTTAAAGGACAGCTTAATTATTACTATATGTTTTTTTCTCGTTGATGGGAAAATGCTGGTCTTTATCAAATAGGTGAAATATCTGTGTTTTCTTATTTCAGCGAATGAAACGGAGCTCGCATTTTTCTGCATGGACGATTACAGAAAATATAAAACCCATCCTGTTGCTACCTGGTGATGACCAAGAAAATTGAGGAAAAAAAAAACTGCACTGTTAATGAGGTGGTTTATCCTGAAATCCTAAAAAAATACATGTTAACAAGCATCGAGACTTTTGTTGCAAGTCCCATTGCAGGGGAGGAAGGAACTACAAACAGTGACATTGCTTTCTGACAAGACTAATTTCACTTCCTGAAATGTGTGATTTTTTAAAATAATAAACGTACCTTGATACTTTCTCTGTGTGGCTTGCAAATAGGAATTTGAAGGTAGATTGACACAGTCATTTATGCCAAAATGATGATGTATCAGCCACAGAAAAGAACCAAGCATAAAAAAAAACTCGGAACAATCTTAGCACACTGGAGCTTCCTTTGCATTTTTTCCCTTGTCTCTCCACAGCAATTTCTTCAAGATGAAGGAATTGTGAGAAATGCCTTATTTCATTTGGCAGATCCATGAGGGTAAATGCTGGGCTTGTTTCAGGAGTTATGCTGCTTTTAATAAATTGGCAGAGTGCCCAAGTGGTGTTTATATAGTGCTAAACCTGTAGAAAGGAGAAAAATAGCTACAAAACTCATTTGCAGAGTAGGCATCTAACAGTTTCCAATTACCAAGTAACTTCTCCCATTTCCTTTGATTTTTGACTGGGTGAAACTACTTGGTGTAGGGATAAGTATCTAGTTCCCATTGTGGTAAGAGTTGGACCCTGTGATTTATGAGATACGGTCACTGTGGTATGATAACTCTGATGAGATTTGATATCAGAATGCATGCATCTATGCTATTAACGGAGTCCTTTGCAGTAACCATTCTGTACCAATATGGTCAAGAACGAATGCTTGTCATTTCTGTTGCTCTTCTTTTAAGGATATAACAATGGTTTGGTTTATGTTCGGACATGGACAAAAATCCTTTCATTGTGAAAAGATACTTCCTCTAACGCGTTAACTTCCTTTGGCAGGTGGGTTGCATCAGTTCACTTTCTGCCTGATGATTCAGTTGTGCTGCGTTGAAAAACATTACAAATCCACTCAAAGGGAAGTGTTAATATGGCTGTTTCATAGAGAGCACGGGGTTATTCCCAGGGCTGAATGGTGGGGCAAATCGTTAATGATGTTTCTGTATTTTTAATAGCTCTTTTTTTAATTGGTCTCAACAGATGGCAACCACCTGGCTGACACTGGCTTAGCTTGGAAGCTAAGTAAGATCGGTGTGGGGTAGTGCTTAGTGAGGGACTTCGGGGGGAACAGAGGTTGAAGGCTAGATGGGAAGCAGGGGGGAACGTTCTAGGAAGGAGGCAGTGTGAAACACTTCTGCACTGCTGCATGGCTATCGCCATGGAGTCTCCAATTCTGGGCCTGACTTGAAAGAGAGGATCTTGTAAGCCTCCGGTAGTGCCCAGTTTTGCTTGTAGCATATACAGAGAGTCCTAGACCTATGATCACAATTTGAGCCTAAAATTTCTGCCGCTAAGGGAGACATTGCTTAAGTGAGTTTTTCCCCCTTTTACAATCTTTTTTTTGTCAAGAGGTATTAAAAATACAGCAAACACTACTTGGGAGATTCTTAATACAGACATAATTTGCCCCACCGTTTGTTAAGTGAGTCACTGCAGTTGTTAAGTTAGTAACACGGTTGTTCAAGTGAATCTGACTTCCCCATTGACTCGGGTTATCAGAAGGAGGCAAAAGCTGTTCACAAGACCTCAGGACACTCATAAAAATGAGCTGGTTGTCAAGTATCTGAATTTCAATGAACGGGACACCAAAACAAACTGTTGTAAGTGAAGGACTACCTGTACGTAAAGAAAAGAGGGAGAAATATGCACTCAGGCGGGCTTTGGAGGGTGGGAGCAAGGATCGATATGGCCTGCTTCATGCAATTTTACTAAGCCAAAATAAAACCCTTATTCTGATGCCACTTTGTACACCTTTTGAGATAAGTATGACTTCGTTATGATTTTAAAAATTCTGCATCCAAAAAAATTCTCCGTTTAGGCCCCGTGATTAAAAGAAGAACTTAAACAAGTGTTCAGTTGGGAGATCTCTTTGGTGCAAAATACACATCTGAACTTGGCAACAAATCAAGAATCTTTGGGATTTAGCAGTTATTTAGAAGAGAAAGGAGCCTTTTGTACGTGAACTTTTTACTAGCAAAATGATCCTTGTTTTGCATTGTTGGAAGAATTTTCCTTCTGGGTTCAGTTCCAAATGGGGAAAAGGACACTGGAATCATGGAAGTTGCTTGGAAAGATGGTATAATGGTGGACAGGGTCACATGCAGGGGTGGGATTCAATTTTTTAAACAACCGGTTCTGTGGGCGTGGCTTAGGTGGTGGGCGTGGCTTGGTGGTCATGTGACTGACTGGGTGTGGCCAACTCAATATCACTCCCATCGAGGCACGCATCTCCTCGCCTGGCCTCTCATGACTGGGAATGCTGCAACAGTCATAAGTCTGAAAAATGGTCATACGTCACCTTTTTTAGTGCCATTGTAACTTTGAATGGTCACTCCAAACAAGCAAAGTACCAGCAAAGGAGGGAAAAAAACTCCAGAGAAGTTCCAGAGACAGGAAGTCTAGTCCTGCCAAGAATGTAATAAGGGTTAACGGAGAGGCAGTTTCTGTAAGCAACACCAGAATGTTTCCTTCCTGCCTTCCTTACAGGATTAGGCCAGTAATTTTTTTTAACAACCGGTTCTCCAAACTGCTTAGAATGCTAACAACCAGTTCTAGCGAATAGGTGTGAACTGGTAGAATCCCACTCCTAATCACATGCCTTGGAACTCTTGGGCGAAGAAAAGGGAAGAGATGCTGAGACCCTGGGTTTTATACCCTCTCTGGCTTTGAACTTCCTGGGCACAGGAAGGGTATCCTGATTGATTTCTATCAGAGGTCATAGCTAGTTTTGTAGGTTGTCTGTGTGCTAAGTTTGGTTGAAACTTGGTGGGTGATGCAACGAAGGGCAATTAAATGGCTTTGCCTGAATGAGGTAGATCTTCGTTATGTAGAATAAACTGGCCCAGGCCTTAATGGCCCATTAACAAAAGTGGGGGGGGGGATGAGGTTCTGCCTCTCTGAGTTTCTACTTTTAGGGGAAATATTCTCCCTTTTTAATATATCCTAAAATATTTCATTTTTCTAGGAGAGGAGTGGGTTTTAACTTCCAACAACACTATAGGATTTCAGCATTTTGGGATATAGAAAAAGGTGATTTTTGTCTTTATCACATCAGAAAATAACTTTTCTTGTAGAGAAATCGGAATATTTAGTTAATCTTTGGCTTCAGGGTGAAGACTAAATTGCTGGATTCTAGAATGGATGCCAAAATTAAATGAATTAGCTATTAGGATAATGCTGCAAAGAATCCAATTAGCTGTTAGAAGAAAAATAATCAAGACAGTTGAAAACAGGCCTACCAGATCTGACCGAAAAAGCCAGGCCACCCCAGTAGAGCTATATAGAAAATTTCTAATTCTTTTCTGCCATCTAGTCAGGATTTTTGCAACCTAGCTATACTAGGCCAAGTGTATACTGGATTCAGTGACCCAAGCTTTTAATTTGGTATGAATTTGTAGCTAGTACTGAAAATATGCCAAGAATGGGACCAAAAATAATGGAAGGTTGCCCATCATTTTTAGTTTTGGCCCTATAGGAAGTGCTTGGAGGAAAAATTCACCCACTCTCTTTAGATGGCTGAGGTTTCTCCTCCCACCCCCATTTTTATACAAAAAAAGACATTGCAAGATTCAATCTCGGTCGGTCGCCGGGGACCAGAGTTTTAGTCTTTCTTCTGAGCTTTTGGACTCGTTCTGGAGCCGTCCTCAGTGAACTTCTCTTCACCGGAATATGTGCTTTTGAGCTATTCTATGCTTCACGTGTATTTGGTGCTTTCCTATTGATTGATATGTTGATGGCCTGTGATTAGCTGTTGTTTTCTTGTGCTACCAAGTCCTTGGCTCCTAAGTCCTTGATAAGCTGGTGGTAAATTAGCGTTTGACTGACAAGAGGCCCTATTTCCCAGGCTTCAATCATTTCCCTGGCTATCTTTGTACCAACATGGCCAACAATCTTAGTAGCTGCGAAATTGAATATATGTCCTCAGAGCCCCCAGAGGATTATTAGGACGAACATGGACCCCCCCTCACCTACACATTAAGTTAACACAACCACGAGGGTCTCCCTTCCCCCTCCCCACCACCCTGTTAGAGGCTTGTTAAAAAAAGGGGGGGAGGCTGCCAGGGCAGCGAAGCAGATGGGAAGCTGTGTGTGTGTGTGTACGAAGTATGGAGGAGCGGCGTTGGAGTCTACAACCAGCCCACAAGTACATAATTTTTTTCAAGTGGGAGAACGATTCACTCTATACAAATGAAAGAGGAGTGACGCTTTCCTCACCCACATCCCCTCTCCTCCTCCAGTTTATCTTCCTTCATTTTAAAGCCACCTCTTTGGCACGGCTAGCATGCACAGATCCTCCGACTAAGCTAACAGTGGCGCCTCCTTTTGGCGTGAAGGATTTTGACGGGGTGAGAAATGGAAGTTCATTCTTCAAGAACTGAGAAGAAGGGGAGAAAGAGAGAGGAGGTGGAAGTAGAGGTGGGGCGATCATTGCTGCCATTGGTGCGCGGGAAGGACACACCTTCCTTCCTTGCCGTTTGCCCTCCGATGAGTTGATTTGATCCAGCTTTGGATTGCTTTGCTTGCAACCTGCAAGTCCCCTCCCCTCTGCACCCTCCACCTGGGCGCATCATTGACACACCGTCCCGCTGTTGTTTTTTTAAAAAATTTGATTTTGTAAAAATTAAAAATAAAATTCCCTTCATGGGCCCCCTTGAGCTCCATGGGCCCTGGAAAAATGTACCGGCTGAACCCCCTTGTCCTCAGGCCTGTAAGTCCTTGTTCATTGCAATGTGAGGCTACCAATGAATACTGTCATGAAAGGGGAGAGTCCCATATGTTTGATTTCACATTATATGGGATCAACACAGTCAAATTTTGTTAAAATTTAATTGGATAGATTTGAAGTTTGT